TGCCCTGCGAGCTGCATGTTTCATCTTGGACTGTTTTGTCATAGGGTTTTCAAAGTGGGAAATTTTCATCAATGGTTTATCATTGCCTTCTTTTGTGCAGCACTAACAAAAGTTATGTGGCTTGCGTGCCACTGCCATTGTCTGTGAAAGATCCTTCATCAGTGTCAACTTCAGTTACCGCTGCTGCCCAGTACCTGCCCTCCAGAGGTTTCTCTGCCCTCATCACTATTGGAACTATCCATTCTCTTCTGCTGATGTGACTGTTATTCCTTGAAGTGGGAAGATGCATCTTAAGCTGATGCTTCAGCTGCGACCATTCTGCCTTGGGTGAACTTGCTAGGAGTCCAGACTCATAATGGGGTCTAGCTTCCTAACGGCCTTGCACTCAGCTTCTCTAACACACTCAAACCCCTACACTACATTGTGTGAATCCAAGAAGGGGTGCCTGTGCCTAATAATACTCTAATTCTGCATGATCACTGCTGGCTAATAGTTCTGTACAGTATTGATGCTAAGCTGGTGTTTAGTCACAACAGCAGCAGCACCACATCTGTGAAGGAAACTCCTTTTCATCTGCTTTATTCCTGGGATTAACCAAACTGAACCAGAGGGGGAAATAGAAAGAGTAAATAAAGAGGCATAAGCAAAAGAAAGCAAATGCCTATAATAATTTTAGGTACACATCCTGAAAGTTATTATTTTTAGCAATAATTCAGTTTCACTTCTAGAGTGCAGGTATTTTATTGAAAAACATATTAATTTCTCCAGTGCAAATTAGACATGTAGTACATATTATTCCTTTTAATGTTAATCTTTTTATGATTGTGTGTACGGATCCAGGGATCAAATAATTTCATATTACCTAATCCAAAATTAAATTATCTAATTTTTGCAATTTACTGAGTGAGGTGTACATTAATAGAAAGGCATCACAGTAATGCCTGTTAATTATAACAGAAATCACCCCTTTCAGTCACTAGAGGGTGTCACAGTGCATAAAGTCGTCTTCCCTGTAACATAAGTCACAAAGAACAGGAAAGGTTGATTTGAAACTTTTGCAGTGTACAATTAGGCTACTTTGTCCTCTAAGAACATACTTGTTAAATCTGTGGCCCTCCAGATGTTGTTGAATTCAAACTCTCATCAGTTGCAGCCAACATTATCAATGATGAGGAATGCTGGGATTAGAAATCTATCATCTGAAGGGCCACACACTACATCTTTGACTTAGTGAATCTTCACTCCTAAGGCTGGGGAGCTAGGCTGGGGAGCTTCCTTAACACAGTGGAGTAGAAAATTATGCTGGCACCATATTCTTATTGTAGACTGCATTGGGGCTGTTTCTGTTACATCAGCACTTGCTTTGGTGTATGACATTTGACATTCTGTGCATCCTGACTTAACAGTCCAGCTGTTCCTGGCATGGTGATATTTAATATAATTCCTATTCTGTATATGAACTTCTATGAAGTCTGTTGCTAGTGACAGGACTGCTGTTTGACAAGCATGAATTAGGTCAAGTCCCAAAAGTTGTTCTTGGTCTGAATTTATTAAATTAGATTTGCTTTCTGGATTAGAATGCTTGAAGTCATGTACTGCTTTCACTCCTTCC